AGCCCAAAACATGCTACAGCAACAGAGTTGAGAGGTTGTGATAGAGATTGTGTGGCCCACAACGCTTAATCGATTATCTTGTCTTTACAGAAGAAGTTTGCCAACCCCTGTTTTAAAACACGTGGGTATGGGGGCGCCTGCGTGGCTTAGTTCGTTAAGCCTCTGACTTTGGCTCAGGTCATGATCTTGTAGTTCGTGAGTTCAGGTTCCATGTCAGGCCCTGGTGCTGACAGCTCAGAGCCTGGAGCCTGTTTAGGAATCTGTGTCTTCCTCTCTCTCTGCCCCTCCCCAACTCACGCTTGCTCTCTCTCGCTCTCTCTCTCTCTCTCAAAAATAAATAATAAAACATTTTTAAAAATTAAAAAGAATTTTTTTAAAGGTGTGGGTGTGTGTGCAAGCATACATGTGTATACCTGCCTGAGAAATTTGTAAGGCTGTTCACCAATGTGTTAACGTCTTCTTCTGAATTATGGAATTATGGGCAATTTAAATTTTAATTGTATTTTTGATACTTTCTATATTATTGAGGTTTCTAAAAATTATCATGTAATAATTTCTGTAATATACATAGACAGTAAACATGTTTCCTCTGGGAGGAAAAGACATCATTCCTATGTACTCGCTCTCCCTTCCTGCACCCTCCACCAAATTCTCCTGTACCTTAATGGTTTATTTTGGTCTGATGCAAACCTTTCTAAATAGGCCGCTGTTCTCCACTGTTGGGAGTGCTAAGTGCTTAACAAACCAGCAAACTCAACTGTTTACTCACTTAGGCATAAGGATTCTTTATGTCTTTATTTAGCTGCCTCTTGTAACTTGGAGAGAAAAGCTTCTGGCTTTTATCTCCTCATTAAAAATAGATCCTTTTATGACGAGGGGACGAAGTGGCCATGAGTCACCCCGTGTGGTGTGAAAGACAGTGTGAGGTGCTGCCTCGGGCCCCAGGAGCTGGGCCCCGAAATGGTACCCCGCCATCCCCATGACCCCCTGGTTTTTTATCATTGCAGGAAACTGGACGCTTTCATCTACGATGCTGCGGTCTTGAATTACAAGGCCGGGAGGGATGAAGGCTGCAAGCTGGTGACCATCGGGAGCGGGTACATCTTCGCCACCACTGGCTACGGAATTGCTCTCCAGAAGGGCTCCCCTTGGAAGAGGCAGATTGACCTGGCCCTGCTCCAGTTTGTGGGTGATGGTAAGACCTTGGGTGACCCCCTAACTTTCGGGGGACGTGACACCCTTGCGCTCTGTTTTCTGATTGGCTTTCCAGTAGACCTTGGTAGGGTGAGCTCGCCCACTCTTGGTCAGGGGCCTCTCACACGACACCACATTTTTTAGGTTGCTTGTAACAGAAACCAGTTTTAAACAATGAAATTGTCAAAGGGGATTTATTTTAAGGATGCAGAAGTGTCTATCTCAGTGAATTGAGGGAAGGGTTGAGCAAATAGGTTTAGAGAAAAGAAAACAGGAACCAGAGCGATCCTGGAGTCTTAATAGCAGGAATTCGTAGATCTGTCCTAGAGCACCAGGTCTCACTGGGGACAGTTTGGGCCCCCAGTGGGTATTGGGCTATGTCTGGAGACATCTTTGTCATGATTGGGAGGCTGTTTGCTCCTGGATTCTAGTGGGTAGAGGCCAGGGTACTGGCATACATCTTACGGCATCCAGGACAGCCCTCCACATCTCAAAACACAGAATCACCTGACCCCAAATGTTAGTAGTGCTGGGCCAGAGAAACCATGACTCTGCATGAACTCGGCTCCAGTCCTAAGCTCTGTTCTCTAAATTCTAAATTTCACATTGCAGAGGAAGGATTCCTGATGCATTTTGAATCAACCTCTTTTTCCTGGGCCCATCAGGAGTGCCTGAGGGGTGGGGTTATGTTGTTCTAACACAAACAGCTCCTGTTATTATCCTGTGGAGGGGTGAAGGAGAAGCAGTCTGTAGAAAGGAATAAAGTCTGCCTCTTGCTCAACAGACCAAAAGATAGATCCCACCCCCGTGGGTCTTAGAGTCTAATGGGACTTTGGCATGTACGGATCGGTGTAGGTAATTGGGCCGACTGTGTCTCCAGCCAACATTTCCTTCAGTCTGGCCTTCTGTACTCCCTGGTCGGTGACCTCAGCACACGAGAGTTCCACGCCATGGGTTTTAGGATCCCGTCCTGGCTCCAATGGCATGTGGGTGTCCCTTTGAATTGCCAACACTGAGAAGGGAAAAGCAAAGTGAGCCTCATGGCCAGTGACGCCTGAAGACTTGAGTGGGTGTGAGCGGGGTACAGAAGTTCGGGCCCCGGGCAGAAGCTGTACTCAAGGACGGCTGGAGGCCCTATTCAGAGATGGTTACACAGGATGCTGTGCCTCTGCAGCTGGGAGAGGCAGATCTGTCAACACTGCAGTCAGACAGAATATTGAAATGGGCAGAGGTTAGTACACAGCATGGTGTGGATCTGAACAAGGTGCATCATTCAATGCACCCTCTTCTCTGCTCCCGGAATTAAGCCCTTGACTCTCAAAGTACCATCAAACATCTAAATGTGTTTATATTTAACTCCCAAATAAGAACGTCTGATCCTGTGAATTCCCTGTGGGGCATTTGCACCTTCTTCTGATCACGATCTGTGTTCTCTGTTGTGTAATCGTGATTTGTGGCTGTGTCGGTCAGCTCTGGCTGTGAAATCTTAGAGGCATATTCCGGTAAGCATTTGTTTTGCCTGTGGGAGTACAGGTTCAGTGGAGGGGCTCTGTGTCAGGCTGTGGTGGCCTTGGTGGCTCTGGCCCCTGCTGTGCATCCGTGGACCAAATGTGTGGTCTCTGCTCTGCGTGTGTTTATTCTGGGTCTCAGGCTAAAAGGGCAGCAGGCTGCCTGGCAGAAGCTCTTTTCTCTATGTCACAGGCACAGAGAAGGACATCTAACTGGACACGTGCTGTTCACGTCTCTGGTTGGCCGTGTTCACATCTGCTAACACCCTTCTGTCTAAAGCAAGTCAGATTGCCAAGCCCAAAGTAAAGGGATCAGAGGTACACTCTGCCTTTTATGGGAGGAGTTTGGAGTTATATGACCAGGGGTGTGGACACAGAGAGGGGTGGAGAGTTGGGAGCCAGCTGCCAGACTGCATACATTACCTGTGTTCTTTAATATTCATGATAACTTTATGACGTTCAGTGTTGCTTATGCCCATTTCACAGAGGGGGAAATGGAAAGTGGTAGAGCTTCTATGTCAGGGGCCTTAATCTGGAAGGGGATCGATGATGTCACACTCCTGTTTCATTTAATTCCCAACGATGTCTATCAAAGTTGGATAATTGTATCCGTGAGATTTATAGACCCTTCATGAAGAAGTAATCTAGTATACCTCTGAACTGATATCTTTTGCCCCACTGACAAATACTTCTATGAAGGGGGTGATCTTCCTTAGCCTCAGTTTACTCATCTGTGAATGAATGCTTGCAGAAATATTTCCTTGATAAGGCTGGCATGTGGATGAAATGAAAGGAGACCTGTAAAGAGCTTAGCTAGGCCCAGCACCTGGAAATAGAAGTGGTTCAATAAATGCTAGCTATTACCATCATCATCTCCATCATCATTATCAGGACCATCGCCATTATTGTCATCACCATCATTATCATTATATCATCATCACCAACACCATCATCACTGTCCTTATCACCACCACCATCATCATCACCACCATCCCCATCACCATCATCACTGTACTTATCACCACCATTCCCATCACCATCATCAC